TGAAATAAGCCAGGTGGAGAAAGACAAATACCAAACGATTTCCCTCATTTGTGGAGTATAACAGTGAAGCAAAACTGAAGGAACAAAATAGCAGCAGACTCAGAGACTCCAAGAATAAACTAGTGGTTACCAAAGGGAGGGTTGTGGGAGGGTGGGTGGGGAGGGAGGCAGAAGGGGATTGAGGGGTATTATGTTTAGTACACATGGTGTGGGGGATCATGGGGAGAACAGTGTAGCCCAGAGAAAGCACATAGTGGATCTGTGGCATCTTACTACACTGATGGACAGTGACTGCATTGGGGTATGAGTGGGGACTTGATGATATGGGTAAATGTAGTAACCACATTGTTTTTTCATGTGAAACCTTCATTAAGAGTGTATATCAATTATACCTTAATAAAAAAAATAACTGTAATAGCCTTAGATGTTGGAGCCTCTCCTTGAATGTATAAGAAGCCAGTTCCCCTGAATGAGTTTTCCATTTAAAAAAAATGGAGGGGATGTGGCAGGACGCCACCCAGTTGAAGGAGATAATCACTCACTAATCAACTGAGGGGCTGGGGCAGGAATCCAGACCTCAGGACTCCACCCCCTGACATAGGCACCATGGATGCAGCCCAAACCCCTGGAATTTTTAAAGCTCTGTAGAAGGCTCCAATGTGCACCCATGATTGAGAATCACAGCGCAAGAGCCTTGTTTCTTGAAGTATGTCCCAAGGACTAACAGCATGGACCTCAACTGGAAGTGTGGCAGAAACAAGACTCTCAGACTCCCACCTTACTGAATGAGAATAGTATCCCCAACTCACTGCCCCCCAAACGCCATAGTTTGAGAGGCTCTGCTTCTCTCTGATGGAGTTGCCAAGTGTTATCTTCCTTTCTGGGAAAAAAAGTCCCCATTAGACACTAAAGCAGATGATATAAAGGAGTAAGATCCAATAGTCTGCAACAATTTGGTTCAGTGTCTTTACCCTAGAAACAAACATGTCAACAGGTCAAGTAGAACCACAGTGTCCAATGTACACAGCCCAAACCCCAACTACCTGTCTGAATCTCAGCGAGGGCACCAAACTCTCCAAGTGTGAGTTCTTACTGAACCCCTGCTTACTTGGAGTTATTCTCCTTTCAGTTTTTGAAGCCAAGACAGAGAGAGGCAACTAGGCTTCCTTCTTGTGAAAGGTCATAAATCCCTGTCCTAGTCACCATCCCTTATTCCTGGAGACAGAGGTGGTGGAGAACTCAAACTGGTCTCTTGAGTGACCCCACAGTGGGCTGAAGCTTGGGGGCTGAGCTCTCTCCTGAAACACACAAGGGTCACAGCTATGCAGGCAGATGTCAAAGGATTGAGAGGAACCCCGTTTCTCTTCATAGAGCAGTCCCTTTGAAAGATGCCACAATGCCTTATAGAGGCTACTCCACACCCATCATTCAGTGGGCAGGAGTAGGCAGTAGGCTAAGACTAAAGGGGAAAATGAGTCACTTCAATTTAGTTGAATCCTCTATTTGGTAGGAAAAGAAAAAAAACTGGTCAATCTAGGTTAACATTAAATATTTGAAGCATCCTAATGGCCATAAAATCACTAGTTTTCACCTTCAGCATGTTCTTGAGCAGCAGTGAACCCCTGGGGAACCCATCTCTAGCCCAGAAAGTGGCCCCTGATGCTGGGTGAAGGACAGAAATATGGCCTCATCCAGGGCAGTACTTAGCAACAGCCCCCGTGCCCATCCCTGCAGAACAGAGACATTTAAGCGCCTTTCAGACTTTCCAGGGCACAAGGTGTAAATTGAGGGAGGCCTGGCCAGAAATAGCAAATACATTGGACAAATATGGCTGCAGCCCCTCTCTTCCACAATGGCTAACATTGATTGTCAAGCATGAAATCTTTTGTTGATGAGCACAGGTGGACCCTCCAGCCCCTTCTGACAATTCACTGGAGCCCTTCCTGCGTCCTGCAGAACAGCACAGCAGGTCCCTACAGGGAGAATCCCTCACCTCAACTCCAAAACACTTACGCGATTTCCGGTTAGCCCGGGAGCGCTTCCTCTCCCGTGGCACTACTCGCTGACTGGGCACTTGGGTGGCTGACTTAACTATGCGGTCCATGATCTCATCAGCCGCATCATCTGTGACGTTAGGTGAGTCATCAGTTCCCATAGTCCATGAACTAGCGGATCCTGAAGAGACAACCAAGCAGACAGCGCAAGTACTCAGAGAGAAGGAAGCCACGGCAGAGAACCTCAGCACTGCTCCTCCAGCAGGGAGCTGTCAGCCAGGGCTTGTGCCTGACAGAACTGGGGCACTCACCTGTCCCCACTGCGGGGGACACTTACATAATACTGCCCTCTAGCATAGCTATCGATTTGCTGACCATAAAAATCCATTTCTAAATCACTCTGTTAAGACAGTGCAGACCAAGTCTGTCATAAGAGCATCTGCCTGCAGAGGAGCAAGAAGAAACCTGAGATCCCAAGTCACATTTCATAGTTAAAAATGAATATGCTATTTTAATGTATCAAGAACTATGCCTTTGTGATAGATCAAATTCCTTGTGAAATCTCTACCATAAGATGGGAAATATGCTTCTGTAAGAAGATGTACAATGTCCCCAAATTGTGAATTTCTTCTACTGACATATCCCTTTGCAATAAACATACAGCTCCAAAAGCCTACAGGTGGGTGTTCTCAGACTCGATGCCTACGGAACACAGGCATCCAGAGCCTAAGGTCCAGCTAAAGGACAGTCAGCTTTTCCCAAACCACAAACCCATACACTTTATTTAATATGTGTCTTAAAATTTTGACTTCTTCTCCTATTAATTTTTTTTTACACTTCTGATGTTTTGATATTGATAGAAAATAGTTGGAAATAGCTGATCACAGTTTCAGTAGTCTATGATTTTCACAGACATGTGTTTGTGGTTGAAATTTTATTGCAAATATGTAATATACCATAATTCAGTACACAAACCCATACACTTTATTTAATATGTGTCTTAAAATTTTGACTTCTTCTCCTATTTTTTTTTACACTTCTGATGTTTTGATATTGATAGAAAATAGTTGGAAATAGCTGATCACAGTTTCAGTAGTCTATGATTTTCACAGACATGTGTTTGTGGTTGAAATTTTATTGCAAATATGTAATATACCATAATTCAGTCTTACTTTCTGTTAGTAAAGTTTGTATGACTGAATTAACTACATATATAATTCACACTTTGCAAAACGAGTACCAGGAGCCAGGGCTCTGCCTGCCTGTATTTGAGACCTGTGGCTACGGGGCTATGATGCTTTCCAATGACAAGACTTTTTGTTGTTGTTGGGGTCATCTAAAAAATGTGTTTTATGAACAATAGCATATCTGCTGTGTTGCCATATACAGAAACAGTAAATTGTACTTTTTCTGCTTATGTCCATGGGAAGTTGATCTACTTGTTCCCATCAGCAGCCTAGTTTTTTCAGCGTTATAAAAACCTTTAAAAATAGGCACTTCTCAAAGATGATTCTTGAAATTGCTGAATATTCCTGCACTCTCAGGATGATTCAGGTGGTCTAAATGGAGGAAAGAGGCCTCCCATGGCACAGTGCTCAGACTGAAACCTGCAGAGCCCCTGAACAGTGGTCCTCCTCAGAGTAGAGAGAGCAATCAATAGTGCTATTGTGTTTTGCCCAGCAATTTCCTGTTTTCCCTTTTACCTATTGATTTATAATTCTTATAATTCTGTGTCTCATTCTGAAATGCCAAACTATCGGTCCAAAAACACACAAAGCTCAATCGATGGTGTTTGCTCATAATACATTTTTGGAGTGCCGGGCCAAAAATGAAAGCATTGCCTGATTTTTCCACTGAGCATGATCCATACTTCCCACCTTACAGAGCCCTAGGGATCTGCTTTCACTGTAATACATCAGGAGATGCTTAAAAGGAACATCTTGCCATTGTCTAGGACTGTCAGACTCAGTTTTGTGATGATGCATCTTATGACCTATTCCTGATTCTGCATTTTTATCCCCTCTTTCTTTGGTTACTTTCCTGCCTGAATACTATTCATGCTCATTCTTTCTGGTCATGTAAGTATTTCTTTTCCTGGAACATATGCATCCACATATAGCCATCAGGGGACACTGTCCGTAACTTTTACACACCCCAAAGGGCCGCTGGCTCACCACAGTCTCCAAGTGTCAGCAGTGAAATGTATACACACTGAGAAGTGGTGGAGGGAATAAAGCATTATTGGCCATGATAGTACCATATCACTTTATTTCCACCTCATGTTTTTAAGTACATAAATTGCAGTTTGAAAGAAGACACTATAAATTATTTTTCTCTTATAACATAACTTAAAGAAATAGTTCAAAAGGAAAAATTATATGAATATAAATATATTGTTTTAATGTAACACAATTTTTGCTTTTGTTTCTGAAAGAGTTTCTTTGGGTATAGACTTCTAGGATAGAAGCTTTTCTTTTTAGCAGTTTAAAGATGTCATTCCACTTCTTTATGATTTCCATAGTTTCTGTTAACAGTGAGCCATCATACTTACTGTCGCTCCTTAGAAGGAGTCTGGGACACAAAGTCTGCAACAGCTGCTAGGGTCCAGAGAGACTCATGCACGGTATGTCTGAGGCCTTTTTGGTACCACAGGGTAAAGTGATTCCCCTCCCCACCGTACTGCAGCCAGTTTATTTATTCTTTTCCTTGTTTTATGCTTCACCTAGAATGGCAGTCTCTACTGCTCAGCATTTAATGATACTATTTTCTTCACCTTTAGACCTTCCCCACTTTCTTTCTCCTCTTACATACTTTCTGCCTTGTTTACACATTCTTTCTTTCCTGTCACTTCTCAGCTGTTCTGAGAAATGAAGGTCTTTTATAGACAGAAGTGACCAAGAAGAGGACACCTTTCCTTCCATGTGGAAAATTAGACAATCAGAATGTGCCACATAAAGTGCTCAGGGCTGTGGTTCTTCACAGCTGTGTCTATCTTCTGTTGGTCACCAAAAGGCTGTCTTTTCAGGATTTGGAAAGACCAACCTCCATAAAACTTAAACTTTTGATTCTTTGATGGTATAACAGTACATGCAAGTGTTTGCATACAGCTTGGGAATCAAGTTCATAGTAAGAGGTATGACTTTTGTACTTTGTCACCTGTGTCTCAGTCAGGACAACACTAGGAAGGGTGACGGGAGACAACCTTTCTGGCATATTCTTACCTGAATATCAAAGTAAAAGCCCTGTTAAAGGAAAAAGACCAAAGTCCAACATTAAGAAGAAGGGAAGGGAACTAGAGTCAGCAATAATGAACTCACACCATGTAAGAAAACCATTTGGCAATTTTATAAAAAGCCTGAAGTGCAGCTTCACTTGGGAATCCTGTGTGAACCTCAGGGCCGCCACCTGGAAGCCCTTTCAGGGCTCCTCCTTGGATGGCAGGCTGTGGCCCTTTGGTTCACAAGAAGCTCCAAGAAACCATGTACTGTATGACCCACTTTGTTCTGATGACATGTCTACGGGCCTCCAATGGCAGCACGAATAGTGTGGGCTGCATTCTGCAGGCACGGAGGTAACTCAGGCAGGTGGAGGTGGCGTCACACTAGACCAGGGAAACATGAACACCATTCTCAGATGAAAGGGCATCTTAATTCTTAACTAACATAAAATAATCCATTCCAAGTTATGAAAAAAATTTGGAACTCTTATCTGTCTTTGCCCTCTTGAAGTTTTAGTTACTTCTCTGCATCTAAAGACTTAAAAAAGGAAAGGGGTAAGTCCATAAACTCTCTCTAAGGGCCAGGTAGTGAAGACTTCAGGCTCTATGGTCCCTACAGTCTCTGTCACAGCCACTCCACCCTGCTATCACAGAGCAAATGCACCAGAGACAAAACACAAGTGAGTCAGGTAGCTGTCTTCCAGGAAATTCTTATTTACAAAGTGGTGTCTGGCTGATGTAGGCTTAGAAGCCATAGTTTTACAACCCCTGTTTTAACCATGAGGATTCCTCTTGGAAAAGGTAATAATTCCTCTCGTGCGAAGCAAGCTATACTTTGGAGAGTGTTGTTTGTTTTTGAGATGAAGCTAATTGCAGGTGAGTCACAAAGGTGTGTGTGAAGTAGTGTGTGTGTGTGATTCCATCGGGCCTGAGAGTCCTGGGGAGTTGATGGCCCTTAGCAGCCACTTCCTGGGCATAGTAATCTGTACCCTGGATGGAGACCAGATGCCCACAGGGTGGTCAAGCAGGGAAGATACCCCACTCCCAGTAGTTACCTCGGCTTGCTCGGCTGCGCGTGCGAACACCCAGCATGGGGGTGGCGTCCTCCATGGCGGGGGACGAGGTCTTCAGCACAGCCTTCATGTTCTCGTGCTCAGTGGCATCCTCAGCATAGCTCAGGCCCTGGGGCTGGCTCAGAGGCACTGGAGAACTGCCAGAGAACTTGCCAGACTGCAAGACCAAAGGGTAATTAGGGCATGAGGTTACTTCCCAGAAAGCCACCTCAAGCTCATAAATGTTACTCTCTGTCTTATTTGTGCACATTCTACAGACACCTTTGTTATGGTGATCACTGAAGTTGTCAATGAACTAATGACAGAACATGTGTGTCTATAGGAAGTTCTCTTATCAGTAAGAAAAGCCCTGGTGCTTGAAGGACCATACTCCTCCCTCGACTGTAGTGTTTTTTGGGCTCACTGCAGAGTCCCTCTGTGGGTACCTGTTAGGGTTGACTGACTCGACTCTGGAAAAAACTCAGAAACCAAATCTGTTTCTAACACCAAAGCTCTGATATGAGAATTGAAATAAGCCCTGTTAATCAAATGTATTGAGGGTTTAAAAAAAAATTGTACCAGAAAGCAGTTAAAATTTTCTTATTTATCATTATGATGATAGAATCTTAAAAGTGGGATTCAGCTAAGGAATCATACAATGTTAAAAGTTGGGAAGAATTTTTTCAGATCTAGTCCCACCTCAGTTTACAAAGAAGCCCTCCAAGATTGAGTGACCTGCCAATGGCCCCCAGAGGAGTAGTTACAGGGCCCACAACAGAATGTGACATGGAAATTCATGCTGAAACTGGGTTTGCCAACACTCGCTACTTCTGGTTATGTTGAAACACAGTTGTTTAAACAAGCATTACATAGACAGGACGAAATTCTCTAATTCTAGCTGAACAAAGAGTTAGGGCAGGTATGTTTTAAAAGAGGTATGTTAGAACATCGGGCTATATGTGCACAATGCCAAATATCTGGATGAAAAATGGAAAGTCAGTTAGATTAATGTTTACAAAGAACAGTTCCATAGATTCCTGGCTTCCTTTTTTATCCAGAGTCTCAGCCATGGCAACAGAGCCCAAGTGGTGTGCGGCTTGTCCCATCTGCACTTCCGCCTCTTCAACTTCTAGGGCCAGACAGCTCTCTGATCTCTGACCATGGCCTCTGGTCATCACATCTGCACCAGGGCCAGGTGAAGGAGCCCTTGCCTTCCTACCCCTCCACACACACATCCCAGTGGATCCAACAGATGCCAATCAAGAAAATGAGCACAAGTCAGAGGCTGCCCTGCAGTGGGCTGGCTCTTAGCCTCTGCCCCACTTCCTCTTCAGTTTTAGGGCTCTTTATGCAGTTGTTCTAGAATCCATTTCTCATATTTGAGTTGCCAAAGGCTCAGACAGAGGGCTGGAGGGATAATTCCCTGTCCACTCTTCAAACAATAGGAAAAATCCGTTGAACCTGCCACTCTAGACAGGGCCTGGGACTCAGGAACGGCTTGGAAAATGCAGACAACCCTTTGATCCATGTGCATATGGCATGATGAGAACCAGAGCAAGGGGTTAGTGAGCACAGGGAAAGCAACCAGAAATCATCCATGCATGGCTTAGAACACTGACTGGTGCTGATGCTTCATGCTACTTAGGTTAGGTTAGACTCTACAGCATTCCAGGGAGGTCAGATGGGCATTCTTCATGTTTATAAGCGGTCGTACCTCAACTTCATCCTCTTCATCAGTCTACCCAGGAGGACAGGACAAGACGGAAAAGACAGAGAGATTCTTAGAAGGCACAGAAGTCAGCAAAGATGAGATCGTGTCACTGTCACATCAAATTCCAAATAAAGAAACTGGCCCCCACAGTCAGGGGCTCACTGATGGGGGAGTCACCAGGCGCTGACTGCACTCACCTGGATACTGCCTCCACTGAACTCAGGGGGAAACTGTGGGGCTCCAGTTCAACTCCCAAGTCTGCCCATGCGGTTAATAACCAGTCCACCTGGCTTCCTGACCACCACAGACCTGGCTCCCAGCTCTAGGCCCTGCTACTTGGCTGGCCATGTCCTGTGGAAACTTCCACCACTTGCGGAATACCAGGGCCTCAGTAAGTGGACTGGCCTCCACTTGTCTGGCTCTGGCATCAGCTGTCACCCCCATCTCATTCTCCGTGCTGGACCCGCCCCTGGCCAGGCTGCTGGCTCTGGGCCCTGGTGAACCCTTCTGCACACAGGCTGGACAGGGTAAGCTGAACAGCTACCCAGGCAGAATGGGTCATATGACCCTCCTCAGAAACAGGAAATTAAGTTCTTTTTAAATCTTACTTGCTTCTATGGGGGCTGTCTGTACTAACATGACATACATTTAATCATCTCCAGGTAAACTTCTTTAAGTAATTTTAAATATTTGTTTTCTAAAAATAAATTGAGGGTGAAAGTCATGTCAATCTCTTGATATAAAATTAAACACATTTTGAATTTAACTTGTGTTTCCACTGAGGTTACAAGGCCAGGCCAGCAAATCAGACACAAGGCTTTTGAGAATTGACTAAACTTTTGGGAACTGAGATGACAAACTCCTTCCAGTCACCACATTCCACGCTGCCCCCAGCCAAATGGCACTGTCCCAAGCGATAAGTCCTGCTTTTTTTTCTTTAATCTTATAGCTTATTTATTTGACCAGGACGGTTGGCATTTTTTCAGCAATTAGAACATGTGCAAGGTGCTACACAACAAAATCTCTACCCTTTCAATATCCCCAGCAAATAACTCGCTTTCCCTTTTTACAGAAGACAAGGCTTAGGTGGAGAGAAGTCAGGGATCTGTGAAACTGAATAAAGGAAACTGTTTGAATAGATTTGGGAGGACAGAAGGGGACACTCACACCACACCAACTTGTCAATTGGAGATCCCAACAGGAAGAAGCATACCTTGCATTTTCCAATAGGAAGAAGCCTATTTTACTACCCCAGCAAGTGGAAGGAAGATTTTCGTTTAGTCTAGCAACAGCCTCGCCAAAGAGAAAATGCCGTAACTCAGGCAAAGAGAAACCGTTACCACACTGAACTCTAATTTTCCTCCCATGGACATTCCTTCAAAAGAGTCCTCCCCAGCTTCCTCCTTTTTTCTACCAAGTAGTGTTCCTCTCCTTTGTTCTCTGGACTTGTCCATAGTGTTGTCATACCTTGTATGTCCCAAATTATAATTCTTCTGCCATTCAGAATAAACCCATGTAGCTGGTAAAATAACTGGCTGTATTATTTTCAAGGTCAACAGGCCTCTGCAGGGTTACCACGGCCCCCTGATGTGGGCATCCTGGGATTGCCAGCCTGAGTCCTTGAAGCCCATCTGCAGTATGATGACAGCAGACAGGGCCATGATCGCCTTGTGTTGCCTCACCTATGCCTCCATTTTGTCTAGAACTAGTTCAGGACACAAGAATGAGGACCTACTTAGTTTCCTACTAACCCTTAACTGGGAGACTCCTGGATTTTGACAAACGAAGGCTCTTTCATTTCAGAAACAAAGAAAGAGGTGAAGAGATAGGCACACAAGGGCAGATACTAGGCTAACTGTAAATGTAGGGTCTTCAGGTATTACCCAGGTTTCTCTGTCTCAGAAAAGAGTGTTTTTTCTAAAATCATGTCTGTTTAATTGCTACCACTTCCATCTTCATTTTACTCAGCATCTATATTAAAAAGGACTTAACTACACAGTTTTCTCTAAAAAAAATGCTTCCAGCTCAAATGTTCAGGGGCCCAATCTGTAGCATGTTTTTTTGAGGGGTGAGAGGGGTACTATAAGTTGTAAATATATTGTTCTAACCAGATAATGATAACCTTGGGGTATAAGCTTGTCTTTTATTGTATTCACATCTTCCAGTATCCAGTGCAGTGCGGGCACACAACGGGAGTTTGAGAATTAGGAATATTAGAAGCTGTACTTTGCTTTAAGTGACAATATCCTAATCTTCCAGCAGATGGCAGTCTTTCTACACGAATGATGACACTTTGTCCACTGAAAATGGGCTATGTTGAAGATAAACCTTAAGGATTGAACAGATTTCCATGGGAACTTAAATATTTTTTAATCAAACTCATTTCACTCAACCTTGTTTAAAAATAAGAAATCTGAATGTTTTCAGGGAAAGACAAAATTTAAAAATTAATGGGTTCTGTAAAAAAATCTTAGAAACTTGGTGAGAAATTTTGATGTTATTTTCATAACTATAAGCATATTTTGGCTTGTATTTTTCACCCCCAAACATGTCTCATTTCCACAAAAATAAGCAATCCACTCTTAAAACTTTCAAAAATAATACTTTGGAATGAAATGTAGGCCACATTTTGCCCAAGTGAGCTCAGCTGGCTTCCTGTTGCTATTCTCAGGGAGGATAAAGATCCTATTAAATCCAGATTTCAGAAGGGGAGACGGAAGACTCTTAGCTGATAGCACTGGCATTCAGGACTGCCAGGAGGCTGGAGAAAGGACCCCTTCTGCAGAGAAGTGAAATGAGCATACCCTGAGATTTCAGAAAATTCCAAATGAACAAGAGGTCTGGGAGGAGTGGATGGAGAGGGGATTAGTCCCTGGTTCTCCCAAGAACTGCCTTAAAATTAAAACAAAATTTCTAGGATAATGCATCTGGTCTGCATGTGAAGGTCAAACCTCTCAAGAAAGTGGACAGTAATCCGATATCCTCTGTTTCTCCTACAACATGCACACCCATCTGAGTACAGACAGCAGCTTCACTGAGGCCTTAATTGATTTTATTTCTCCCCAAAGAAATCCAACTGACGTAAATTCAGTTGAGGCTTGCAACCCCCAGGATGATGGCACTTCAGTGGCTTAACCCTTTGCCCATTTCATTCCCTGGATCACTGAGAGCCAACATGCTTCTCAGATATGCATATGCACATGGGATAACTTTCATAAAGGCACCTCAGAAAGAGATACCTGCACTGTGTGTTTCTCTCCAGCATCTTCACACATCCCATCCCCCTCCACTCATGAAGCATTTTCCAGTTGAATATCCACTGTACCAGTGACCTGGAGGGGCTGAGGGCTGAAGTGGGGGAAATCAGGGAAGAGCCCAGGGGCAGGAGAGGGATGCCAGTGCACAGGGGCTCCCCAAAGGGCTACTGGGAGCTCCCGTTGGAGTCTCTGTCCTCTGGGATCTCCTCCCACCTTGCTATTCTCTGACTCAAGGGACTGCCAGGAGCTCAGCAGATTATGTTTTTGAGCAACAACACAACAATTATTTCTCTATTCAGATGCCTAGAATGGGTGGGTGACCCATGTGTCAACTGATTGGTTATATGGCATTGTTATGATGATTAAAATCCTGAATCAATTCCCTAATCAGTACATTTGTCTTCCTATGATAAGTGTCATTATCTTTTATATTTTGTCTTTTCTTCCAATTACACCCACATCCCAGAGGCTGAAAATGGAATCAAGCACTAATGTCACCAGTGTCATACAACACACCAGTGTGGGTTAAAGTTCCTCCACCAGCTACACATCCTTAATTTACACATCCTAGTTTTGTGTTTGCCACATAGCAGATTTTCACAGAAGTAGTAGAGGAACTTTTTAAGAGCACTTTTTAAAAGAGGAAGTTTTTTTTTCACAGTAAAAAAAAAAACAACATAGTGCTCAAACTGTAGGGAGGTGTTGTGGTTGGTTGTACTTCCAAAACAAAGGACACAAAAAGACTGATACCACGAAACTCACATCAGTGATCATCTTCCCTCTGGTCTTATTTCTTTCTCTGTGGTTGGCCCGTTTCTGTTTCTGCTGCAAAACCCTCTCCCTGGTGGTACGGTACTCCAGGGCAAATTCACTGATGATCCTGCAGAACTTGTTTATGTTCACCTCCCGAATTGCATAAGGTGGATGACCCATAAAGAGCAAAAAGGAATGGAATCTGCAGTGAAAAACAACAGTGGTCATGACTTCAGTTTTAAGGAACAAAGACCAATTGTCTGAAAACTTTCAGTAAGAAACCACAGCCAGATGGTGTTCTTCATTCCTGGAGCTTTGAGGTCCAAGAGTCTTTTCAAGTGAAAATTACCCAGACGGCAAATTCAACTCATTTTCTCATGGATGAAAGGTATGTCTAGGTGGTAACATTTCAGGAAATTAACTGCCTCTTTCTTTTTGCTTATCTGTGTTTTAATATTTTTCTAAAATGGCTATGTAAATTTTTTAAAGAAAAATGGTAAAGTACTATTCAAGGAAAATACTGCACAGTTTCTAGATCATGTAAGAATTGAATAAGGAATAAAGAAATATTGCTCAGGAACCTGTTTGAGGTAGACGTGATCATGTTATAGATAACACATTAACTGCTGGTTTGTAAAAAGATGCGTATCAGGCTTTTTGTAGGTAAATATTTTAAAATATTTTCTTGCAATATTACATACAATCTTCATTATGAAGCACCAAACAAGCAGCACAAAATAAATTTCAGCTATTTAACTACCAATTGAAAATTATTGATTCTATTTACTTAAACATTTTGTAAAATAAATTAAATAAGCAAACAAATACCCAATTTTCATTATCAGGTAGTGAGACTGAAGATACTAGAAGACAGAGGGAAACTTTCATGTAGAATAAAGAGTTTTATATAAAGGATACTACTATTTGTAGACGATTTTTGTTTTTGATCACTCTGATTTGTACAGTTAGCATAGGGGTTTGGTTTGGTTTTCAAATGAGGGACACCGGCTTATTCTTTATGTGAAAAATAATAAAGTAAAACATATAACTTGTTATTAAAGAAAAGGGGCTGGGAAAAAATGCTGCTTAAAACCAAAATTGATAGGTAAAACCACAAAGCTCTCAGAAGAAAACAAAATACAAATTTTGGTGCCTTTGGATTAGGCAATTTCTTAGATATGACATCAAAAGTATAACAGCTAAAGAAAAAAAGATTAAGCTGGGTTTCATCAAAATTAAAAACTTTTGTGCTTCAAAGGACTCTATAAAGAGCAAAAAGACAACCCACAGAATGGGAGAAAATGTTTGCAAATCATATGTCTGCTAAGGGACTTGTATCCAGAATATATAAAGAAATCTTACAACTCAACACTATGAAGACAAAAATGGCAAAAGATTTGAATAGACATTTAAGCAAAAGTATATACAAATAACCAATATGTGCATGAAAAGATGTTCAACATTATTAGTCATTAGGGGAATGAAAATAAAAACTACAATGCTATAGCACTTCACACTCACTAGACTGGCTATAACCAACATACAGACAATAACAAGTGTTAGTGAGAATGGGAAGAGACTGGAACCTTCACACAGTGCAGGTAAAAACATAAAATGGTTCAGCTGTTGTGGAAAAGTCTGGCAGTCCCTAAAAAATTAAATATAGGGTTACTACATAACCTAGCAATTTTGCTCCTATGTATATACCCAAAAGATATGACAGCAGGCATCCACATAAAACCTAAACAAATATTCATAGTAGCATTAATCATGATACTGCATTCATCAAAGCAGAAACAACCAAAGTGTCCGTCAACAAATGAATTGATAAACGAAATGTGGTATATTCATACAATGTCCCAAATAACTGGCCCCACTACCTCTCTGACTTCATCTCCAATGATCCCAGCCGCAAAAGACTCCTTGTGATTCCTTGAATAAGCCCACTCCAGGGCCTCAGTCTCCGTGAGCAGTGTGTAGGGGACTCCAGGAGACACTGAGCTGTCTGAGCCAAGAGCCAGCAGGGTCTGTGGGGAGAGGCGGGGAGGCCACCCCACTGGCAGGACCACAGGCCCTGACAAGGCCTCCCGCAGCAGCTGCCCCATGGCCCAGAGCATTTCTGCCACAGACACTGCTGGATTGCTCTCTCTCATCCTGCAGGTCTCTGCCCAAATATCACCTTCTCTGAGAAGCCTTCCCTAACTTTCCTGTTTTGTAAAGCTGCACTGTCTCATCACTCCCTGTCCCATTTATATTCTGAGTTTTTCTTTCTGACTCATATTACTACCTGACATGATATGATTTGGTATATGATATGCTACAATATATGCTATGATACATGATATGATGTAGTAGGACAGGATAGTATGATATACTACATATATCATCATACATCACTACTCAAGATCTGCATGCAAATAAAATCAAGAGGATAATCAATAAGCCCACAGCTGGCTAACTGCTTCAACATATTCTTAATTATTAATTTTCTGTGTCCTTTTTTAATACATAAGTACAACCCAAGTGTCTTTATCCTCCACTTTCACTTTCTAGAACACTGTTTTTATCTAGAGGGGATCCAAATCTAACATTTAAATTGGAAATATGTTTCAAGTATATATCTTGCACCCAGGGGAGTAACAAGCACATCTGGAAGATTCAGACAAACATTCAAAGGAAAGAGGCTGTGGTGTTCCTTCAGAAGAACAAAGGGGATATGACGTTAAGGGGGTAAAACATTTAAGGATTTTTGTTAGTTGAATTTATAACTCAGAACATGTGACATGAAGGTCTTACGGTTATGGAGAGGGAAGTTCCCCCAGGCACTATCCAGAGGTACAATATTTTTTATCTGTTCTGTCATCCACCCTCTTTTTCAAGTGTGCCACTGAGTGGGATGCCTAGCCCAGGCCAGGGCAGGGTGGATCTTGGGTGCTGGACAGCCAGGGTGGGTGCTCACCTGTCTTCTGCCTGTCTTTCCCCCTGGAATGCCAGCCCCTTGCTGAGCTCTCCACGCCTCCCAGGAAGTCCTTCCTCCTACCCCTCATCTGGTCCTGCTCGTGCCAATGCCTGCCACCGTGTAACTGCAGCCTAATGAATCGGGATTAGGCGGTGAGTACAGTTGTGTAAAAGGGAAGGTTAACACCCAGATTCAACATCTAGAACAAGATTTCCTCAGCCAGACAAAGATGTTAAAAGCCAGGTTTTGCCTAAAGAAGATTGTCTAAGTTCTTTGATCTGCTCCTCTATCAAGAGGGGACCCATTGGTGTAACTAGAGGAGGGCAAATCAGACAGGAAAGGGAGGGTGCAGGGCCTGCTCCTGTAGTGTAGGACTGATGGAAGAAGAGAAGGGGGTAGCCAGAGAGTACTCTCATTTCCTCTCCCCCAGGAGACCCTGGAGTGGGGAGAGTTCTGTGGAGAGGCAAAGGTGATGCTTAGAGAGAAGATAAGAGGAACCTCTATCCCTGTGCACGACAGAGTTGTAGCAGGACAAAATGGAGCACTCCTCGTGGAGTGCACAGGACCGCCTAGGGAGGTGGGGAAGCAAGAAGGTCTGGCTGGGCTCACCAGCTCTCAGGGACCCTATGAAGTGTACAGGGGACCCTGGGGAATATGGTGGGTGTGAGCTGAGAGCAGAGGGGGAGATCTGAGGCTTGTCCCTTCACCTGCCACTCACCACAGGAGGTGCCAGCAGAGGCAGTACAGAACCAGTCCTGCCTGTCCACGTGGGAGGCTGGGGAGGTTCTAGATGGCTCCATCCGAGAACATGTCCCCTTCCCCACCAGTAAAGTACAGAAATCACTGTTCTTCTTCCCAGAAGCCAGTTTAGAGGTGCAGCAAACTCCTGAACACAAAACATTCAGGACACCAAATGTTTAGCTGTTTATGTTACTGGTTAGGTTAGCAGGCTGCTGCTCAGCCAGGCACAGTGGGTCATTAGGAGGTGGAGTAAGTGGTGGAACAGGAGTCCTTTCCTCTGCACTTCTGAACATCATGAGGATGTGAGGGCAGCTCTGCTGCCTATGGAGGTCCATGCTTATTCCCTGGAAAGAGGCACCTTTACACTCTGAGAGCCTCAAAGCAGCATCTGTGCAACAACTACTTCTTTCAAACAGTGCCCTGCTGAATGAATTCCTAATTACACAATTAAAACTACAGCTCTTGTACTCATATGTGAGGAAAGAAGATGGAGATCTAGCTAATTTTGAAGATCTGGTCTGATCTCTTAGATTTAGGTTGATCTCCATGCCCCAGATGATTCCACCTGTTACCCACTGTATGACCCTAACTGGAGCTCTACTCCATCCTGGGCCTTGGTTTCCCAGTGTGCAAAGGAATCTGTAAGAGCACAGCAGTTGCAGGCTGTGCTCCTGGGAATGCTGGTGGTGGGGAGGGGAGAGGAAACACAGCACTTGGGGCTCTGAGCCTCCCAGCTCCATTTCTACAAGATATTCCCATTCTATTCAGTGCTACTTACAGGACTCCTGCTGATGGTCTCATGTGAACCCACAGTTCTATGGTTTAGATGCTTTTATTTGGCCGCCACCTGGGCCCCCATTTTGGCCTTGTCCCTTTCATTACCCACCATAACTGCAGTGGATCCCTGGCTCATTCTGATCATCAGACAGGGATTCAGGTCATGCAAGAGCAACCATCATTTGGGCGACCAGCTTACCAACGAGAAGAGGACAAACAGAACAAGCACTATATGCAAAATATGTATATAATGCATATTATGTACATATTGCATTAATACACACCTTAAGGAACTGATGTATCACCAAAATGAGTTTTTCTCTGTCCAAGATAAAATGGTTAATGTGACCGGGCATAACAGCTCTACAATACTTTCATAAAATTGCTCCAGTTTCATGCAGTTCCAAATAGAAACTATTTGTTTATTTGAATAGTTTAAAGTTGGAAATTGCTTGTATCGTAGAAAGCATGGAGGGCCAAAGCAGCTCACATTCCCTACTTCCTCTTTTTAACCATGTTAAAAGCATAATGTACTTTGATTTCAGGAAGGAATTTGACAAAACCTCTGATAAGATCCTTGTACCCGGAGGGCAGCTGTGAGGTCTAGCTGGAGCATAGTCAGGGATTTACAGCTGAACAACTCAGTTCCCAAAGTACTGAGTAACAGCGAGTTGTGACCCTGGAAGGGAGAGGGAGCTCCTTATTACTGCCTCTCTAGCATTTGAAAACCACCCTCGGCCCTCAACAGACTGAATCAAGACCCAAAGCAACAAATGACCCAAGCTGGGAGGGGTGCACTTCAGACAAGAGAATCAGGTTTTCCAAAGTTCTATATGGTTTCAAGGAAGGTAAAAGGAGGGAGGGAAGGAGAGAAGAGAGAAAAAATAATAAAAAATGTGAAATGTGCAGGGATAAATAAAAATATCACACATCTTTTTTTTAAAAAAAATGATATGCTCAAGCACACCACCAGGAGTGTGCTTAAGCAACAGACCTCTGGAAAAGGCCTGCAGTTCAGATGGCCCCGGGTGAGGCTCCCTGCAGTTCAGATGGCCCCAGGTGAGCTTCCCTGTGGTTCAGATGGCCCCAGGTGAGGCTCCCTGTTGTTCAGATGGCCCCAGGTGAAGCTCTCTCAACAGAGCTGCAGTGAGGCCTGTTTCAGAGGGTCTGTTCTCAGAGCACCTGCTCCAGGTAGACCACAGACTGCAGGTCTACAAACCTGGGCATTTACTCACCAAGGTATAAGGCCCCAGACAGAGCATTCAGACCCCAGATGCCTGGGTGAGGGACCTACAACCATGTTCTGTGATGAAGCAAGGGAGAAAAAAGTGGTGGAACATGGTAGGAAATGCCTGGCTTGGGAAGTCGGAAGACCCAGTTTTAGTCCTGGTGCTGCAACTCTGGACCCCAGCCAGCCTCCTTACAAGCAAGCCAATCCTGACAAACCACTGCTGTGTGTCCCAGGGTCCCCTCGGATCCTATGACCTGGAGGAAAGCTGATCCAAGGATAGCATGCACGGTGGGGCCCAGGCTTCATCCAGGCAGGCTACAGCACAGAGCAGCCATTGGAGAGCCAAGAAATCAAGGTCTTGGAGGGGGGACTACAGGTCATATAATAAAAGGAACTGTTCTAATAAGCTGCCTTGCAAGGACATGAGCTCTCTGCAGGTGGATCTGTTTAGGCAGATGCAGAGATACAGGGTCAACTGTTCAAAGATCTCATAGATGCAATTCCTCATCAAGCAGGATTTGGGGATGACATTACCTCTGAGAGTCCCTTGAACCTCAAGATTTAATGGCATTTTATTGTTGTAGTATGTGTGTGAGACAACTTAATACCCATGAAACAAATATGTGCATCAAATGTGCACCCACTTGTTATATTCTAAGAATTCATAGCACAGTTTTTATAAATTTAACCTTCAGATCTTGGTTTGCAGAACTTTTCAACATGACATTTTACTGGTTTTTCCACAGGTTCTTCAATCCACATTACCTGTTAATTATTCTTCTATGGACAATCTTTAAAATTATAATTCGCTCTGCACAATCTTTCAGGAACTCTGACATTCGTTGTTTTAAAACTGGTTTCATTTCATGTTTTGCAATTGCCTTGAGGTGATCCCATGAAGCTTTGCATCTTCTCTCCATCTGACATAAATTATCCTGAAGTTGTTCAAAGTCAACCTGAAAATAAGAAAGAGAACATTGCAAACACACTGAAACAACTGGACACTGACGTGAATCAGGAAACCGAACTGCCTCTGGGAAGAAACAAACACCAAAACCAAATTTACATCTTGAAATGCCTAAAAATTATCCACATGAGTATTTGTCATTATCTCGATATCAAATTATTATGTGATAAAACTATTCAACAAATGAACCCAAGTGTCACTTTTTTTTGCCTGATTTGGAAATAAATCTTAGGAAAGTCATTGGGAATTGTAGATTAAAACATGATATCAAGGAAGCTTAGTACAATATGAACTCAGAAGGTGTCTCATAAAATTTTTCAGAGCACTTTTGCTCTTCAGAGATGATATTTCACTTGAGGTTTGAGGAACACACACAGTCATATATGGATGGCTTAGATATGCTGGGGCCAGGTAAGGTATAGCCGGCTTTCCTTCACAATTATCTTTTTTACACGGTGTGACAAATCATTTTATTTATCCACCCATTCACTCATTCAGTCAACACTCATGGAGAAACTGGGGAATGGCTGTCCCTGTACCAGGCACTAAGAACATAAAGACAAATGCTGATGAGATTGAGTTGCTGTTCTCAAGGGGGCTCATAGGTGATAACAAACACTGAGGAGGCACGGACTGTGTGTGTCTGTGTGTAGGCTGTGGGGGCGCTTAGTCCTGCCGGAAGCTGCAAGTGCTGTGTGCACAGAACAGATGTCATGAGTGCTCGCTGTTCTCTTCAAGGGACTGGGAACAGCTCCGATTGACGGAAGTGTTTTGAAATGAGGTTTTCTAAAATAACACTTCTACAAAATCTTGGGATTAGAAATTATGTGAATCAGAGTCATGAAAAAACCACATTTAATGGAGGGAGATGTAGGATTGGGGAAAGACATTGAGAAGGCTAGAAGGGGAGGAAGAAATAAATAGGTGGGCCGAAGGGAGGGGCAGAGGGGACAAGGTAGATGTAGAGTGAGAGAAGATAGGAAAGGGAAAGAGTACGGTGAACAAAGGTCAAAAGGACATAGAACAGATGTAGAGGGAAGCCACCGCTGCTTGGATGCTGCTGACTGTGGTCATGAGTGCAGGGTCTGGATATGCGTACCCAGGGCACTTGCTGGAGTGGCCTCAGACTTTCAGCCCGTCCCCTGCAGGACAGCAGAGGAGACCAAGTCAACAAGGGCCAAGTCTGTGAGGATCTGTCTCCAGACAGCATGAAGCTGCGCTGTGCACAGGGGATGCTCTGGCGCCAGGCAAGACACTGATTGTCCCAGATTTCTTGGGTGCTAAAGAGCCAAAAACAGAAGGTAAGTTTAGGCAAAGTTCTGGGATTCAGGTAAACAAAGAGCTCAAGGGACTTTGAGAAAAATGACCTGCCTGAAACCAAAGGAATTCTGGGTCCAGATTAGAAAAGTCTTAACTCCACTTCCTAGGACACAGTGGAGTTAAAAAAAAAGAAGCCATTTAGTTGAGAGGAAAAGAAATGCAGATTTAAAAAAGGAAGGACTGACTAGTCCAAAGGACAAGTCTAGAAAAGGATCCACATGGCCTGGGATGGACAAGTCATGTCTAGGAGGTCTAGGAGGTTTTAAGCCAATTGGATGTGTCCTCTTTTGCATCTGGCAGCTCCCTTGATCCTCAATAAAATAACCCGAGTTCAGCTCAGACACACATCAAGTAGCCCTGTGCAGCCTGACCGTGGGATGCTTGCCATGGGCACAGAACAGCAAGCAGACAAGATGTGATGGTATGAGAGATGGTTTTTCAAGGAAGAGTCCATTGTGAACCCTTAAGATGGTGGCAGAAGAAAGTAACCTCACTGCCAACAGAAGCTGGGCAGGGAGCCTTCTGACAAAAAGTAGTTTGAGGGCTGAGCTTAACGCAGTGTCCTTTGAGGAGAGTGGGAGACGACCTCAGCTGGTGGCGGGCCTGGGTTGACGCAGCCAGCACATGGGATCTGAGTTCTCACAGTTACTTCATGGCCTCAGATTCTGTTACTAGCTCCACTTCATAGGGAAGGAACTGATAAGAGGTTAAGTAGCTTGAGAGGCCACATAGCTGGAGGTGGTAGACCTGGGATTTGAACCCAAATCTCTTTGGCTCCAGAATCTAAGTTGTCAACTATCATGCCTTAAGCCTAGGTTTGCCCCTAGAAAATTCTACCTCTGGGAGAGAGCTGGCCTGGCCTTCTGTTGTGAGAAGGAAGTCCTGGCCAGGAAGACCTCTCCCGAGGATACTCCTTATGGGCCACTTTCTGTGTGCAAGAAGACACATCAGCTGTGCTGCGAAGCAGAGTCAAGTCTTACCATGGCAGTCTGGGTGCTGTGGGACAACTCAGGACACAATTGTCCTGTGGACACCACAGCAACCTGCCTCTTGGGGACTGCAGTGGTGAGACCCAAACTGTGGCACACCAGGGGATGGGGTGAAAGCAATGAGCACTGGGGTTTCCTGAGGCTTGCCTTGTACCAGTCTATGCAGAAGGGCCCCTTTGGGAGAAAAAGCTGAGAAGTGGTGGTAGATTAGCTTCCTGCTTCAAGTCACAGGGACCTGGGTCAACAGTCACCTTTAAGAATAGCCAAAGTTAACAGGTTCGTACAGTTTGGCTTCTGTAGCCAACCTTTAGGCAAGGTTATGTTTAGTTATTAGTTTACCAATAACTAAACATTCTCTGGGAAAAGCCTAAGTGTGGGCTGAGGCTGTCACTTGAGGCCAGCTTGGCTCAGACTCCCAGTTCGGGGCTACTTTTGTTACAAGCAGGCTCCATCCAGGATAAGGCCCCGGGAAAGAACCAAGGACCACATGTAAAAAGGAAGCAATTGTCCTGGGTGGTTCTGGAAACAGGTCCAAAATGAATCTAGATATCCAGATAGCTTTGTCTGAAATAGAGTTATTTCTAATGAACTGTCTTCTGAGAAGGTGCTCATGGAGATGTCAGAGAAGCAATTGGAGGGACCCCTGTTGGGATACAGGGGCTTTTTATGCCTTGGTTAGGATATTGAAGTAATATTCTTAAAGACTGCAGGACAGTGCCTGCCATGGAGCAAACATGGTAAGCGTACCTGTGAAGTGAGGTGTCTGTGTTCTCAGAAGCCCTTCATCAGCTCTTAGAGCTGGGGGATTGCTGGCCATGCCTCTTTCTGCCTCAAGGCAGGTCCACCATCAGCCTGGCTCAGGGTCCCCTGCTTGCTATAACTGGCAGCTGGCCAGCCTGTTGGTCCCAAAGCAGGTAAAAGAGGGTCCCAGCCCCCAGGCCCCCAGAAGCCATTCTGTGGAGAAGGCAGGAGATGGAGAGCTCAGCAAAACCCCTTCCCCATTCCTCCCACCTCTGCCCACCTCTCAGCCTCCTCTTGTCTCCCAGAGCTCAGGGTCGTTCTTGCCTGGGCTGGGTTTCCAGGAGATTTCCTCCACAATGGCCTGGATGCTGTGCCTTATTCAGACCCTCACCCTGAGTTCCCTGTTGTTCCCAAGACCCTTACATACCCCAGTTCTGCTGCTTTTGGTTCCTCTGGGGTTGCTCCTGCAGCTGGGACAACTGGGTGTCCAGCTATTAAGACTGTCTCTTTACTTATAATCCATAAACTTATGAAGACATTAACTCTGCACTAAATTTAAGGACTTGGAGCCTAGGGGCCAATGCTACATACTGTTTCCAGCCCTATGGAACTGTTCCCTCTGTGTTAGATCATAGGGATGGCCAATCTGTGGAGAGCAAGGGGCCAGTATGCCCCTGTTTCCTGGCTCCACATCTCACTGCAAGGTTCCGTGGAAGTCTTAGGAGGAGCCAAATTGCATCTTTCTGACATTTTTGCCCATCTACAATGAGCTGGGGAGTTTGAATGCTGTGGAGCATCCAGTCTGGTGAGTAACACTGTACAACAGTGGATGCAGGCTTAGGACCAAGATGGCAGGCTTGCCCCACAGACCTTAGTCGGAAAGAATCTGACAGGGAACCAGCCATGGGAAAACAGTCTTAATGGTCCTTCAGAAATGGTATCAGACAAGTCATATTCACAAACTCCAGCACAGCACTTAGCCATTTTACTTAACAGGCCTGAGCTCCACAGAGATGAGTGAAGGAGAGCCACCACCCGCCCCACTGTGCTCCATAGACGTACCTTGGCTGACCTGGTGACGGCTCCAATCTCCGAGTACAGATCGGAGCTGTCTGGGAAATTTTCCACCACCATGGTGCACACATGGTGGAGAAGAGATTGCTTGTGCACGGTGTCTTTAACTTCTGGAACCTTCTCAAGGTAGCTTAACTCAAATGCTTTGGCCTGTTTGGTGAACATTAAATGTAAGACGTGAAGAACAAATTTTACACAGGCTCTTATAAAGGCACAAAAGGTTAGAATCAATGCCCTGCTGCAGTGGTCCAATATTTAGTTCCCCTGTGACTGAAGCTTCTCAGGCCACATGCTCCATCATCCTGAGATGATCACACATGGGCCAGCCACACTGAGAATGAAAGGGGCCTCTGGCCCTTCCCCACCACAGCCATCATCCTAGGATGGTTTCAGGGCTCTCCCCCTAAAACAGGATGCTGTGGGGCTGGCATCTGGGTATCTGTAACTTCTTTCTCCCTTTGCCCTGTTTCTTTTCTACTTTCTGTTAAAAAATAAGTCAATTTTTAAAAGAAAGTTGGTTTATAATATGTGTAAGTACAAATATTTGAGTGATAAGCTCAGGAAAAGAAAAACAGGGCAGAAAAGAAATCTCTCCAATGTCAATTTTGAGAGTAGTCAAGCTTTGTGCTTATTTTTCGGTTTTCTTACTTATAACAACATACAGGTTCAAATAAGCAGGCCCTGATAATTTAAGGAGAAAATTCCTAGATTTTTCAGCAAGAAACTTCAAAAGTTGTTTGTTCTTTGGTGCTTTGGAGGATCAGAGGTACAACCTCCACCAGCAGGTGCGGGACAGGGATGTTGTGACAAGGGAGAGACGAGGGAAGGGATGTGACTTACATTAGTTCCATTTAGAAAATTCCCGATGGCTAAAAGAGTAGACAGGATAAAGCCCAGGGTTTTATTGTTCTCCAGTTGATCTATTCCTTCCTTCAGGTCCAAAAGTGGTTCTGCTACTTCCTTTCAATTAAAAAAAAAAGGAATATGATAAATAACATACATTTTGTCTTTACTCTGTTCTTTTTAATTTTTGAATAAGATTGTAAGATGTGGACTTCTCAGTACAAGGGAATCCCATGTGATGGGCACACAGTAAAGTGCCAAAAGGTGACAGGGTAAAAGTCTAGGCCCCAGAGTCTTCCCATGAAGACCAAATGGGTACCTGTGGCAAACAGAAAGCTGTGCAGGGGTGGCAAGGGCTCTGGCTTTCCCTGTCCCTGCCCATCCTCCAAGCTCAGGCAAGACCCTCAGGTCACACTCTCCTCTCAGTGCATTCTCTGACCATGGCTGACTTCACGACACCCTTCCTTCACACTTTCCTTCAGCCTCTGGACTAGTCTTCCTCTTTTTCTTTCTTCTTCCAGTTAGGTGACACTGTGGCTTCACTATCTATGGGCCACTCAGGGCTCTTAACCTCCCTTCTGGGCACTCTTTCCTGGCTACGTCTTAGCCTATTGTTTTCTAAAGGCCACCATCCTCACTGCTCCCACTGCCCCCATAACTCCCATTCTCTCACACTTCTAGATTGGTTTTGTGACCAAGTCATACCAAGTGATCCCTGCTTGATTCCCAAATGACTTCAAGTGCAGTGGTTTCCTCCTGAGGCCCCTAAACCCATCCCACCTATCTGGTCCTCAATATAAGACCTTGCTGCCTCCTTTGCAGGGGGATGGAGATCACACAGGCTGTCCACCTGTGCTTTGAATCTGTCATTTCTGGGCACTTCCTCTCAATTAAGTTCACCTCTCCCTTGCCTTCCATCTCTTGCTTTTCCTCTCCACTCATTCCTTCTGCTCAGAACCTGTAAAAATACTCACATTGCCCCAGTCCAGAGAAATCACCTGCTCCTTCCAGTTTCTACTGAAGACAAGCCTCCCCATGCCTATTCTGTGAAGGACCCTTTCCTTCTTTCCTCCTCTCAACCTCTTGAACTCTGTTTCATTCTAAACTTTCTACTGAGATTCTCTCTCAATGTGACCCAATGACCTGCTAAATGCATCAAAGGCAGCTTAAGTGATTATCATCAGGTAGCAGGAGTACAGGTCACTTTCCGGATTGTGCTTTTTGGTATTTTTCAGATTTTCTACGATGAGCATTTATTTAGAAAAAGATATAATAGGTTTTCTTTAAACAGTCATCTGATTTAAACCCACAATCAAGTGCTTGAGGCCGGTGCCAGGCAGACACTTTAGGATAACCCCTCAGTGGCAGGCTGCTGCCCACCTAGTGCAGACACAACCTCATCATAATCAACTTGCCCTTCAAATCCTTACTCCAGAATGATACTTCACTCTTTTGCCAATAAAAAATTGACTTTCTAACTCTGGGGATTAGGATTGCTTCTCTGTCTTCCTACACGCTTACCTTTTCTGTAGTTTCATAATCCATTTTGAATGCCCAGAGGTGGAGCCGAGCTGAGAGCTCGCTGATGGAGGAGAGGGTGAGCAGGAACTGCTCTGCACTGCCCAACGGCACTTCAGGGCTGGCCAGCTGAGCTTCCTCGATTTTCTGCTTCTCTTCTTCACTGGGAATCATAGTTAGAATTTTCTGGAAAGATGGAATTATATTGGATATTCTTAGTGATGGACTGTATCCCATCTCTCTGATGTTCCTAAATTCTTATAATTTTCCAACCAGTAGAGATATGCTGTTGCCATTGTTCTTATACAAGTGTTACATTGTTATAAACTAAATACACTTTAGCAAATAAAAGTCCCAGGTAGTATCTCTATTTATATTGATTTGGTCTGAAATGACCTCTCTTTCTCTCCTTTAATATCCTGTTTTATAAAGAATTTAAGCAAGTTTTCCCCAAATTTTCAGGATCTTGTACATGAAGGACACTCTAGGCAAGGAAGGGGGTTGGGAGGTAAGAGAAAGGTAAAAGAATAAAACAAAAGATTAGAGAACATATCCCTGTGTCCTAGGAAATAAGAGTCAAACATGTCAAAAATATATGCTTTCTAGTACTTCTCATGGATTAAGTTCAGAGCTTACAAAAATGTATTACTTTCTAGGAATTCAGAGTGACTTTTTTATACGAGACAAAACATAATTTTAATTCTTTTAAGTATTTAAGCTATATTTCAAAACATATGTAGAAATGAAAACACTTCAAGTAATATCAAACTCAAGTCTGATTGAGGAAAAGTCATAATGGTATTTATAAATAGCAAATCCAACCCACTAATGAAAAAAGTATAACTTTTTGCTTGTGATGGTTTCTGGTTAAAATCAATTATATAAGGCAGAACAGGCAGAAAATCATGAGAAGGATTACGATTCTTATAGGTTCAAATCCCTAGTAATTACATTTTAAAAGAAGGTAAAAATTCCCATAATGTGACACTTCACATAAACATTATTAAAGTGTTATTTTTCTCTCATTTTTCCTTCTCTAGCATCAAAGCACAGAAACACACATTGTGCTATACTTTTCATAACTTACATTAATTCGTTAATCCTAATTGCTTTGGGTACTACTCTATAATAGCAAGCATCTAGATAAAAAATGGGAAGGAATTCTAGTTCTGGGTAAGATGGAGTAGGCACATTCTACCCTGTCTGCCCCACTGAATGCAACAATAAACCCTGGACAGTATGCATGGAGCAGCAATCTGAAGACTCTAAAAAATACTTAGTAGGAGGTAGATTCGGAAAGAAGACCTGAAGTCGAGGTTCAACTAAACTGGCAATTAGTTCAGTTTCCTTTTCCTTTGGTATTCCCCAGCCTCAGCTCTAGGAAATGCTCAGGAATGCAATCAAAGGTGATCTAAATAATTGAGGATATACTATGTTCATGGACTGAGTCAAACACAGTCAAGATACTCATTTCCCCCAAACTGATCTATAAATTTAACTTGATTCCAATCAAAACACCAGCACAACATTTTTTTTTGGATATAGACAAGCTTATTCTATAAGTTCTATGTCGAGGTAGATGAAACAAAACAACCAAAACAATTTTGAATAAGGAAAACCTTGAAGGAGTCATATTACCTAACTATAAGATATATAAAACTATATTAATAAGTGTGGCATGCACAATGGGGAAGACACAGGGATCAATGGACTACAAAAATATAGCCCAGTCATTTTGACAAAAGTGCAAAGACAGCTCAGTGGAGAAAAGATAATATTTTAAACAAATGGTGTTGGAAGAACAGGAATCCATATGCAAAAAAAAAACAGTGAACCTCAACTTAAATCTTATGCCTTATACATAAATTAACGAAAAAATAATCACAGATCTAAAAGGAAAAGGTAACACTACAAAATTTTAGGAAAGGAACATAAGAGAAAATCTTTGTGACCCTTTTGGGCAATGAACTCTTAAACATGATACCAAAAAAGAATAGTTTGATAAGTTGAACTTCATCCAAATTAAAACCTTTTTCTCTGAAAGATACTGTTAAGAGAATAAAATACAGTTCCTTAAAAGATTAAACATACAGAGATACCATATGACCCAGCAATTACATTTGTAGGTATTTACCCTATAGAAATTGAAAGTTATGTTCACAGAAAAACTTGCACACAAACATTTGTAGCAACTTTATTCATAACTACAAAAAACTGGACCAAGCTACATATTCTTCAACAGGTGAATAGACAAACTGTGGTTATGTCTTACAATGATGAAGTTCTCAACAATAAAAAGGGACCAACTATAGACATATACCACAACTTAGCTGAATTTCAAAGGTATCAATCATGCTGAAAGAAAAAAGCCAGAATTATGTGATGTTCTCAAAAAAAACAAAACCATAGTGATGGAATAGATCAGTGATGACCAAGGGCTAGAGATGCAAATGTTCACACAATTATGATTTAGGATGTACCTGGGTGGGATTAGCAGCTGTCCTGCATTCAAGGACAGTGTTAACAGAGAGGGCAGTCTCAGTAGTCAAGCAGAAGCCAGTGATGTCAGCTGCATTGAAGATAAGTGTTCTGTGCCATAGAGGTCACAGAAAGTGAGCACCACATGCCTCCTCTTCCAAGATTCTCAGCATCATGGCCCCAAACCCTCAGATTATGTGAATGGAATCTGAGCATCAAGGGAGATATTCAGCAACAGTATTCCTTGTTCCCCAACAGAACCATGCTATTGATCCTGCCTGTCCACATGGATATTATTTTAAAATAACCAAAACAATCCAAGCAGATGTCGCTTCTTCAAAAACATCCAGGATTTGAACTAAACTAGTTTTCAAAATAAAAATTTAACTCGTTTGTATTTTAATTTTCTTAATGGTTAGATTATAGTAATCATGTACAAGAATTCCAAAACAAAAAATCATTAACACTTTTTCCCTTTTGTCAGATGGGATTTTCCTGCAATGATTTTAGCTGCTTTTTTCTTTTGGGAAAGTAATCAGACACTCTTACTTTTGTTTTTCACTTCTCTAATTTAAACCATTTGTTCGCTATTGAAGATTTATGAGGTTGCCATCTGCTAGTTAATTTTATTTTATTTTTTACACATCACTGGCAATAAAAATAGCTGTAAGACAGTAGAAGGGCAGGCCAAAACTACCTTCTGTGAGCTGACAGCCCTTTTTTTCCCCCAAAAAACAGATGACAAGGGAATGAAAGTGAGAAGTTATCTCTAATTTGTTCTTCTACCATGTCAGTGAATTTATTGATGATTTTATGATGATCACTATTTTGTTTCACAGGAAGAAAAACATCAAAGAAGACTATTACATAATAATCTCAGTGTTTTTGAGTTTTGGCTTTCTCCCAGACAGTGTCCACATGGCACTGCTTTAAGTATACAGGGTTTTTAAAAATCTGATATCTGTATTTCAGAGAAAAATGGTGAAGGCTCACTGATTATGGACCCAAATATTTTGGGGTTTGGCCACCTCATTCACTTTCAGATGAGACCATAACAAGCAGTCATTTTCTTTGTGCGTTTTGAACAAAACCCTGGGTATAGCTCTGGAGGAGAATCTAGCACAAGGATTTTGGTGACAACAGCACAACGTCAGAGCACTTAAAGCACAGACTGGTTTGGACGCCACTTGTACATTATTATGAGACAATGGTTTTCTATTCATGAACTTACTCTATGGAGGGACTTCTCTCTCTCTCTCTCTTTTTAACTTCTCAAGGTGTTTTGATAATATCTGCTTTCGTCCTGTGATGACTCAGTGAGGCATGTGGGGCAGAAATTACTGCTTTAAGCTCACAGATGAAGTGACTTGCTTGAAGCTAGGGTGGATCACCCAAGGCAGAGCTATAGACCACCTAGGGGCTACTCCTTATTTTCTAGAACCAAACCTGTATACCTCATGGAGATTCAACTGGAAATGCAAAACTGTCAGCGTGGCTAAGGAGTCCAGTCCCTGGGATATTCTGGCTCCCTGGCCCTGCTGCCTGGCCACGGTTTCTGCACTCAGGCTCCTCTGCATGTACCCAGCACCCTCTCAGGCTGGGCAGACGGCACATGTACAACACAGACTGCCAGAGAAGGTGCTGTACGTGGGGCAAGAGGGAGCTTCTGTTTCTAGCATGCCGACAGGCCTGGCAGCCAAATTGGGCCAAATTAATGCCACTTGGGACTGTTCAATTGTGCTACCATTGGAGTAGACCCAGACTCTAAAAACATTAAAAAGGCAAGAAAAGGAAAGAAAACCCTTCATATTTCCATCTGAGATAACCTGATGATGTTTTACTTGGGAAAACATCATTAATACTATTTAAAGATGGCTTTAAAATAGTGTTCTAAAGCTTAATACTCTTATGGAAAACTATTTCATTAATGAAGCTACTTAATTATTCCCTCAGGACAAACCCGGATACATAAAATTGGGTTGCTAAGCAAAGCCACTGGATTCTAACCATGTGTAGGTACACAGGGCTTTGAACTGTGCCATTGTGCTACTGTGCCTGCGTCCAAGAAGCAGATGGTTTGCAAGAGACCCTTTGGGAGAAAGCTGGAAATCTTATTAGTAAAGACCTGTAAGTACACAACTTCCATCTCCTCTCAGTCCTGATTTAACTCTTGAACAACAAGCCTAGAGAATAAGCTCTGGGTAATGGGCTTAGCACATGGGTCTAGACCAGTGATGCCCCTCAGGTCCCTGAGAGCAATGACTTAGAGACAGCCCATGATGGATGGGAGTTTCTGGATTCCATATCCTCCAAGAGGGCTGGTTTCCACTGGAGTCTTCTCGGCATGACTGAAGAGTTGAAAAATATACATAGTCTCCGAATTCACACAGGCAGTCTTCAGACCAAGGGTTCTTAATTTGGGGTCATTTTGCCTCCAGGGGACATTGGAAAGTCTGGAGACACTTTTAGCCATCACCATTAGGGTGGCATCTTGTGGGCAGAAGCCAGGGAATCTGATAAACATCATCCAATGCAGTGGACAGTTCCCATAATCTGGAATTGTCAGCCTAGAGGTGTCAACAGTGTCACTGATGGGAAACGCTGATTTAGATGAAAACTGAAAGAAATGTGTTACTGTATGTGTTGCTATTACTGAATGTGAATTTACAGAGGATTGATCACACAATAAACTCTCAGTAAGGGTTTGATGGTTTTCTCCCACTTTAAATCGTTCCACACATCATCTACTCCTGGTGGATGACCGTAGGCAGCACAATGATGCAGCCCGTGCTGTCTCCAGGGTTTCCTCACGTCCCCCTCAGATTTCCTCTTATTCTTTTCGGCACCTGAGCACAGACATAGAGTGCCCTCCTAGGACAACCATCCCCAAGGCCTGTGGTCTGTACTTTACATCCAGGCTCTAGAGTTTCTATTGCAGTTCGACCTCTCACTGGCTTGTAGAGCATCAGACTGATGTGGGGACTCACTCTTCACCTTTAAGATGGGGAACATAATAAATAGCATGTACCTAATAAGGCTTTGATGAGCATCTGTGTAAAGCACCTACCTGGTGCGTGGCCCACGGGAAGGAACCTATGAAAGTCAACTTTAGAGCTGTGCTGCTCTTCCTATATCCGTCACCACTACTGTGGCTGTCATTATTCCTTCCTGGATCAAAAAGGTGCTCAGCTGGAAACCAGTCAGAAAAGGAAAAGGCAATTTGATTCATTCTAAAATGCAAGTAGCTTAGTAACTTATTGTATCTGAAACTTTCCCCACCCAGGGAGATCTACATTTCAGGAAAGAACAAAGAGAAAATCCAAAGGAATCAATCTCTCCTGATGGTCTTTCAAGTTCTCATGACAAGAAGGGGAAATTCTTCTAAAAGGAGAAGTTGTCATTTTTTCCTTCAACCAGGCCAAGTCTGGTTATATTTGAAGCCTCCCTCTGTCTGAATCTGAAGCTTTTGTAATCTCTAAAAAACAGTGGTAAGTAAATAGGATGGCTGGAGTGTGTGCTCCAACCGCCCTGGGTTTGTCCAGATGAGATGAAAGACACTCTACAGGTGGTTTGTCCAGGCTGGCAGCCCCCGCCTGCCCAAGGCCAAGCCTGTGCGCTTCTCCTCCCTTGCTCCTTCTGGGGGTCCCAGAGCAGGGCTGGGCTGCCTCCCTCTTCTTGCTGTGTGGCAGCTGCCTTAATGTCCCTCTCTGTATTTTCCTGCCATCACCTTCTGTTCTGTCTCCTTTATACCCTCTGTCCCAGTCCACCACATGCCCTCATACCCTGGTTACCCCTTGGATATGTTGCCTGGCCTCATTTCAGGGTTTGGAGCTCAACTTTCTGTCCAGCCAGAAAGAAAATGCATTCTCCTCCTTCTGTCTGCTCCTGGAACAGGGTGTGTGTGTTCCCTGGAGTAGGGGTGCTTAGGCCTTTCATGGCTTCCTAGGGCTGTCATAATGAAGTACCACAAACCAGCGGTTTATAACAACAGAAATCTATTCTCTCATAATTGGAGAGACCAGAGTTCTGGTATCACGGTGGTCGGCAGGGTGATGTTCTCTCTGAAGGACTTAGGGGAGGAATACCTTCCTTGCCTCCTCTTAGCTTCTGGTAACTGTAGGCATCCCTGGTGCTCCTTGTTTTATAAACACATCACTGTGATCTCGGCCTCCATCATCACATGGCCTTCTGCTCTGTGTGTGCCCCTGTGTGGTATCTGTCTTCATGGGGCATTTTCCTCTCCACGTCTGTGTCCAAACTTCTCTCTTCTTAAAAGGATATCAGTCACTGGACTAGAAACCACTCAAACCCAGGGTGACTGTATC